GGACTGGATGAATCCCAAGCTGGAATCAAGATTGCTGGAAGAAATATCAACGACCTCCAATATGCAGATGATACCACTCTGATGGCAGAAAGCGAGGAGGAATTAAGGAACCTTGTAAAGAGGGTGAAAGAGGAGAGTGCAAAAAACGGTCTGAAGCTCAACATCAAAAAAACTAAGATCATGGCAACCAGTCCCATCACCTCCTGGCAAATAGAAGGGGAAGATATGGAGGCAGTGACAGATTTCACTTTCTTGGGCTCCATGATCACTGCAGATAGAGACAGCAGCCACGAAATTAAAAGACGCCTGCTTCTTGGGAGGAAAGCGATGACAAACCAGGATAGCGTCTTAAAAAGCAGAGACATCACCTTGCCAACAAAAGTCGGCATAGTCAAAGCTATGGTTTTCCCTGTAGTGATGTACGGAAGTGAGAGCTGGACCATAAAGAAAGCTGACCGTCGAAGAATTGATGCTTTTGAATTCTGGTGCTGGAGGAGACTCTTGAGTCTGCAAGGAGAAGAGTCCCCTGGACTGCAAGAAGAACAAACTTATCCATTCTAAAGGAAATCAACCCTGAGTGCTCATTGGAAGGACAGATCCTGAAGCTGAGCCTCCAATACTTTGGCCATCTCATGAGAAGAGAAGACTCTGGAAAAGACTCTGATACACAACACAATACTCTCAATGAGGCCTAACCAGTGCTAAATAGAAGAGAACTAGTATTTCACTGGACTGGGAGACTATACTTCTGCTAATGTAGGCTAAATAGCATCTGTCTTTTACTGCATTGCATGGGGTCATGAAGAGTCGGACACGACTAAACGACAACAATCCAGAACTGGACACAATACTCTCAATGAGGCCTAACCAGTGCTAAATAGAAGGGAACTAGTATTTCACTGGACTGGGAGACTATACTTCTGCTAATGTAGGCTAAATAGCATCTGTCTTTTTTGTCACTGCATTGCACCGTTGGCTCTTACTCAGTTTGACTACAATTCCATGGTCTTTCTCGTGGGTGGTATTACAGAGTCAAGTATCCCCTATCTTGTAGCTATGCATTAGGTTTCTTTTGCCTAGGAGTAGAACTTTCCATTTCTCCCTGTTAAATTTCATTCTGTTGTTTTCAGCTCAGTGCTGGAGTCTATCAAGAACTTTTCCAATTTTGTTCATGTATCCTATGGAAATATAGCTACTATTTGCTCAGAAAAACTTCAGATTGTTGTAGGGAATTTTTCTCTGCTTCAATGATTGAATGCACCCACCCTTGAAAATTAATTAACTGGTCTGTATTTTACTTTTTCACAATCCATGAATAGGAAGCAAAAAATTTTCACCTATAAACATTTAACTGAATACGATCAG